TCGAGAAGAATAAGGATGGAGCTTTCACCTTTGTCAGCATGCATAAGAATGTCATTAGACACTCTCAGTAATGCTGTCTCGGTGCTATGTTTTTGGCGAAAACCAGATTGGAATTTGTCAAAGATTCTATGACCCTCTACCAGTTTCAGGAGCTGGTCCGCAACAATGTTTTCAAGGATTGTGTGTAGAAGCACCCAAGGATGATTTAGGCGTATTTATACGGAAGATTATAAGGGCCATTTGTGAAAAATGTATTTGAGTTCTGAGTTTAAAGTTAAAAGTCTGAGAATAAAGTGAGTGGCTGGGTTTTGTGAGGGTTAAATAAGGTGAACCCTTTCCCCTTTATAAGACGCTGTGCATATTTACGCATGAGGCACAGCAGCTTTAACTTCAACAGTTTTAGTTGATGATTAAAACCTACCACACGCCAACAGAATCAGTCAAGATGTACTGTTAATGATTGTTTTGTGTTTTTATCCACAAATCATGAAGTATGTGTCTCAGCTTTCCAGTCATTCCCAATTTATGCAGTTCCATCCAGTGTTGTTCATAGAAACCAGTATGCAGAAATATTCACATACACTACGCAGAAATAACACTTTTTTTGCCACATTTATAAATCTGCATGGTTTTGTCCTAAAACTGCATGGGATTAGCATAAAGTGGACATGTGTGACAAGTGGAGACTTGTGGGTACCCATAGAAGCCATTTTAATTTAGATATCTTAAGGTCAGAGGTCAAGGGATCTCTTTGAAATGGCCATACCAGTTTTTCCATTGCCAAAATTTGCTGGCGTTTGTAGTGGAAAATCTGATTTCAGGGGTGGCCAGCTGTTTGACCTAATTTAAAAGGGAATATATCTTACAGGGACTGGTAGAGGTGGAGTAAAATGTCCATGTCAAATCCCATGCAATCTGATCTTTCGATTCTAATTTGGGCCACTTTCATATGTGATAGCCTAAATCTGAAAAAATAATTTGTAATAATTCTGGATCAATTCCTAACAATTCTGGAACAATTTCACAAAATCTGTCAAAATAATCACAATATTATGTTTTTTAACCATATTGTGCAGCCCTAGTTAGCAGATGTGTTTTATTGTTGGATATGTGATTGTGACGGTTGTTGTATGTGGGTTTTGGCCAGCAGCTGCTGTCCGTTCCTACCGGTACTGTGTATCGGCCTGTTCTCACCACTAGACATATCATATGCTGCGTTAGGTTTATTTCACATGACCAGTTGTGCATGAATAGATTAAAAACTAATTTGTCTTAGGGGTAGTTGACTCAATATCCCTCTCAGAAGTGCTCTTGCTGGAATCTTGCGTTCAAGTAAGTGGTCAAAGACATAAGTAGTGTGACCTGTGAAAGTCATATCTGGCTGCTCCTCACTGAGCTGCAGGCAGCAGCTGGCATTATTTGGCATTCATGCATTGCCTGGCAGCTATCTATTCCTGCTGCACGTGGCCAAACATGGCATTCTGTTACCTCACACGTTCTTACTACTCTGCTTTGATTAATCTCAAACCCCTGCTTCAACAACCAGGAGTGGATCTGGAGAAATGTTCATGAGGTGTTTAGAGGGTGGCATGGAGACTTTAAGAAAGAAATAAATACTGATTTAATCACATATATCAGTTTTTGCTCGGAAAAGCCCCCAGATGAAGATATTTGTACTCAAAAACAGTATTGTGGCACATTAGTAAAGCAATGAATACAAAATATATAAAGGTGACATTAGAAATCAATCCATTGTTTTATTTCCAAATCTTAACACATTTTTCTGAATTCATTTTTCATTGAATTTAAAGGTCCAGTGTCTAGGATTTAATGGCGACTAGCGTTGCAGTTGCAGATTGCAAATCTGTTGCATCACCCTCCCCTTCCAAGTACAAAGAAGAAACAACAGTGGCCATGAAATGCACAAACGCTCCTATCTAGTGCCAGTGGTCTGGTTGGTTTGTCCCTTCTGGGATACTGTAGAAACTTGGCGTTGCAACGTAGCAGACTCCCTGGAGGCATGGATAGACGTCCATTGCGCCTATAGATATAAAAGGCTCATACTAACGAAAACACAATTCTTATTTTCAGGTGATTATACACGAATAAAGATATATTTATGCATACGTATATTATTTAATTTCTGCCAAAATATTATTCTAAATTGCCTTTAAGCCTATCACTTAGTCTAAAATGTGGTCAAAACAGATCATTATTAATTACTTAATTCATTTTAACACAGTATTTAAAAAATAAAACTAATATTCTCTTCTAAACTTGACAGCATTTGACACCATACTGGGATGGAATAACTTTTTGTCATATTCACTGCAACTTACACTATATCCTGACAGTAGTACATGAGACAGATAATCTGTGAAAAAATCAAGTTCCTCTGGCTCCTCCTAGTGCTCCTAATGGTATTTATAAGAATCGTGAATGAAAACAACCAATCATAGCCGAGAAAGATAGAAAGACACTTTGGCTTGGCTTGAAGAGTTTATTGTTGAGTCTCATTCCAGTACTGGTATTTGACAACCTGGGAATGAGACTCAACAATCAACTACTTTTTTTTTTTTCTCAATCTACAACTTATACTAAATATGCCAGTTGGCACACTCAAATCACGTTGTGCAACACTATAAATAGGGAGAGAAATTAGGCTCAAAATGGTCTCAAATGCATATTACATGGTGCAATAATGAAAAATAACTATTTGTGCGTCATTTTGGGTACTCACAAATGTGTGTTCCAATCCACACAAGTAGTTTGAACATGTGTGAAATAAATGCACCCATGACAACCCGAATAAATGTTACTATGTTCTGTACAGATTTTTACCCTCTATGGAAGCCCTCAACACATTTTTAATGCCATTATGGAGATCACAAGTTGTTTATTTCGTTATCTCTGTATAACAAAGCTTGTTTTCTTGTGATAACGGTTTAATTTATCTTGTTATCGAGAAAACAAAAGGCCTCATTTGTGACCACTTTGTGTCTAATTTCTCTCCATATTTGAATGGATATAATAAAATTGGTTTGCATATGGGAAATTTTGACAAGACAGGTCTGGCAACAGCTCAACATACAGACAATATACATTGTTTTTTACAAGCTTTTTATGATGTGTATTTTGTAATGTGTGGAAGTGAGACTGTGGTTGGGTAAATACACAACAGTGGCAGCAGCAAGAACCAATCAGCGGCTTCCTTCCTTATTTCCCTGATCTTGTTGCGTATGTTGGAAAATAGTGTATATGCATATAACCTCAACTAACCCCCAATCAGACCCCTCTGTATCAATTGGGTAAACTGACTGAGTGACATATTTTATGGATATTTCACATTATATTCAATAATAACAATAACAGCAGAGAACAACAACTGACACAATAACTGCAGGAAGTTTGTGTGAAACAAGCAATTAGGATGAATTTTGAGCAGATTATTTCCTGTGAATATTGATCAGAGATGAGTTTTACGGATAATTTTAAGAACTTTTGATACAATTCTTTATTTAAAAATGTTCTTTTTTTACAATTATACATACTTAATATGGTTCATTTTTACAGATTGTGTTTTATTGACTTTATTAGCTTTTTTGTTTAACTGCGTACTTTTCTAATGCAGGATTAGGCTGTTTAGCAGAGTGAAGGCTAGACTTCGCTCGATTGGAGATGTATGTCAAAGTTTATCCACCTGCGTGTCAAAGTAAAGTTTTATAAAGAACTACTTGTACATGGTTTTCTGCACAAGTAATATTTAAGCTCAAAGTTAATCCTAAATCAGTTTTATAAATGAGGCCCCAGGTCTTCACTGTGCCCTTATCCTGTGAGACTCGTATCAAGGAGGCCTTTTAATCCCATAGCCAAAATGTTGCACTGGTATAAACTAACAAAAATATGGTACTATCTAACGTGGTGATACCTATGTATTACAGAATTATACAGAGTCTTTGACAAATTCTATTTTTATTTCTATATTATATGATATGACATGATTTGCAGATCTGGATACAGATCAAAAAACTTGTATCTTTCCAGGTCCTGTTTGTCCAGTGTTCTAGCACAAATTAATCATTAATTTGTAATTAAAGAGTAATATAAAGCTATCCAGGAGTCCCCATAGACGTACAGGTGGAGGTTGTGCTGGACCATGAACCCGCCTTAATGTAACATGAGTCTGAGTGAGCTAGTTGACTAACTCAATACGTCCTTAGTTTGGTAGAAGAAGTTTTGATGTGTTTTTTCCTGCCAAGAAAAGTATAACTTCCATTAAAAAAACAAACAAACATTTAAATCCTTAAAAAGTCCTACCTTGTTAAAAATACTTTCATTCTCAGTGTATGTGCACTGGTGGCTGTTGCAAAACAGGACCAAGACCAAATTAGTTAGCATCAATTATTAGTGAGCAATTATTACCATCCCAAATAATAGCAAGCTTGTCTAAACATTTTAGTGAGTTATTCAGCGATGTAGTATGAGAAAAGTAAACAGACTATCTTTTCTGTGTAAGGAAACTTTTATGGCTGCGTTCATCCTCATTTCGACAAGGTGAATAAAGGCTGCACAGACTCTGTGAAAATGACTAAAATATGTGGGGGCATTAATAGTGTAATATTATTTATTCAATATGTTATGGGAAAATCTTTTTACAGACGACTGAGGTCTGGTTTGACAATCCCAAGTGTAAAGCCTGGTTGGCTAAGGATGCCAGTACTACACTACAGTCTTCTGGCAATTATTTGGCATACATTGTCAGAATGTACATAAATGTTCCTTTTAAAACCCTGTTAGATTTAAAAAACATTTATTTACGTAATAAATATCCAGCTATTTGTACTCAGATGTCAAATATGGTCTGAAATATGATCTTCTGAGATTGAAATGGAAAATGCCTTGCAACCCTGCAGAACTGGAAAAAAGTAGATCAGTGAATGTCTAATTACATGTTCAACTATCACATATGGGTAAAATGTTTGGATGTCCACATACCAGGTATGGTGGTACTGTTGGGTCTCTGTAAATAATGTTATAGGGAGTTCAGTCTAGACCTGCTCTATTTGAAAAGTGTCCTCAGATAACTTCTGTTATGAACTGGCGCTATAC